GGGACCTGTGTGTCTGTCACGGTCCTTCCAGCCCCTGTTCTCCGAGTTTTGGCGGCGAGAGCAGCCAGGAAGGCAGAAGGATGATTCAAAAGCCCTGGAATAGTCTGGAAGGAGGATGCAAACCAGAATGTAAAATGCAAAGCCCTGCCTGGGTGGAAGGTAGGATTTCATGCTGACGGCCCACAGTACAGAATAGAAATCCTCTCCCTTTCTACTCTCCATTCACTCAGGAGTCCACCCTGTGCTCAGCTTCAGAGACTTCCCTAGGGCCACCGCCTGGGATGAGGGACGGAGTGCTCAGACTAAGGAGGAGTGAGGTCACTACCTGCTGCTTAAACACAGCAGGGATGCGGGCGCGGGCGTGGGCGTGGGAGAGGGAGCCTGAGGTCCCAGCTACTCAGGAAGCAGTAGCGGGAGAATCACTGAGCCTGGGGGTCCTGGCCAGCCTGGGCGACAAAGTAACATTCCCTCCCGCTTTTTTTTTTTTAATAAAATTTTGATTAGGACACGCCTGTAATCCCAGCACTTTGGGAGGCTGAGGCGGGTGAATCTCGAGGTCAGGGCATCGAGACCATCCTGGCTAACACGGTGAAGCCCCGTCTCCACTAAAAATACAAAAATTAACCGGGCGTGGTGGCCGGCGCTTATAGTCCCAGCTTACTCAGGAGGCTGAGGCAGGAGAATGCTGTGAGCACGGGAGGTGGAGCTTGCAGTGGGCCGAGATCTCGCCACTGCACTCCAGCCTGGGCGACAGAGCCAGACTCTGTCGCAGGAAAAAAAAAAAAAAAAAATTTCCTTGCCTGAGATAGGGATACCTTACTCTTTCCCATGTGAATATCCAGTTAGTTGTGCCAGCAGGTTTGTAAAAGAGATCTATTACTTTCTCCTTTTTATTTCCATTTTTTTTCGTGTGTGTGTGTGTGTGTGTGTGTGTGTGTGTGTGTGTGTGTATGTGACATAGTATTTCTCTGTCGCCCAGGCTGGAGTGCAGTGGCGAGATCTCGGCTCACTGCAGCTTCTGCCTCCTGGGTTGAAGCGATTCTTCTGCCTCAGCCTCCGGAATAGCTGGCATTACAGACGCACGCCACCATGCCCGGCTAATTTTTGTATTTTAGGTAGAGATGGGCTGTCACCATGTTGGACAGGCTGGTCTCGAACTCCTGACTTCAAGTCATCCGCCTGCCTCGGCCTTCCAAAGTGCTTGGAGTACAGGAGTGAGTCGCTGTGCCTGGTCCAAGAAATACTCTTTACTTCGCTTTTTAAATGTTGTGAAAATACAATTGAAAACTAAAATATCTTCCCCGAAATGAGAAATCATCT